ACTCTGTTCTCAATGATGAGTGGGCTTCACACCCTACGTGGGCGTCGGAGGATAGCGGATTCGTTGCTCATAGAAAGAACCAGTTTGAGGAAGGCCTGCACCGTATCGAGGAAGAGCGCCACGATTATGACTTCAACATTGAAGCTAACATCAAGTGCATCCAGCTCCTGGAGCCTATCGCACAAAATATGCTCGCCATGTCTGCTGCTGAGAGGGAAACGTTCCAGATGCCTGTTGCACTCGCTGGACAAAGCACGTCTATTTTCAAGCGCATCTGCAAGAAGATATATGGTGATCGAGGTATCGATGTTGTTAATGACATGTTCACCCATCCTTTCGACGTGGTGCCTGTCCTATTGGCTCGCATGAAGCAGAAGGATGAGGAGTGGCGGTTCTCCCAGCGAGAATGGGAGAAGGTGTGGCATGCCCAGACTGAGAACATGCATCTCAAGAGTCTGGACCACATGGGCATTCTTGTCAAGCAAAACGACAAGAGGCACTTAACTGCAAAGCACTTGGTCGATGTCATTAAGACAAAGCATGAGGAACAGCGCCGCGAGCGATCGTTGAAGGGTGATGTCCCTCGACATCAGTTCAGCTGGGACTTTAGTGACAAGGATACCATCATTGATCTTCTGCGCCTCATGATGCTGTACAGCTTGCACAATGGACAGCACAGCAGCCAAGAAAAGGAACGCATTCTGGAATTCTTCGAGTCCTTCATCCCTGCCTTCTTCGATATTCCCGAGGAGAACATCCAGGATAAGCTTCCCAAGATGCAGCCCGATTCTGGCGAGGATGAAGTGGAGGACCACACGCCTGCAGAGCTGACCAACGGCCGCAGCCGACGTAACGGTCGAAAAGGAGATCTACTTAGAGGAGTTCTTGATCCTGGCCGTAACGGTAGCAAACCCCGCGGACATAAGGAAGACAGCGCCTCAGGAAGCAAAGAGACAACGCCTGATGTTACTTCAGCGAATGAAGAGGAGATGCCCGATGCTTCCGATGACGTTGCCAACACTGACGTTTCTAACGAACGCTGGATACCCAATATCCCCAAACCCGTTGTCGTTGGTCAGAGCGAAGAGATACTGAACACTGAAGGCGAGTTGAAGGCCGATGGATTCTTCACACGACCATGGTACAACTTCTTCTGCAACCAGACCCTGTTCGTCTTCTTCAGCATCTTCCAAACTCTATATCGACGTCTTCAAGATCTCAAAGAAGCAAAGGAGGTTGTGGCCAAGGAGGTTGAGCGTCTCAATAAACAGAAGCCTGCTCGGGATATTGGTTTTACTGAGAACCACATGAAGTTCTTCGACACCAACGATGACCCAGACAGTTACTGGCCGAAGACCCTTGAGCTCATTGAGGAGTATATTTCCGGTGACGTTGACGAGAGTCGATACCAGGATGTAATGCGACACTATTACCTCAAGACTGGATGGAAGGTGTACACAATCCAAGACCTGCTCAAGACCCTCTGCCGTCTGGCCCTTACCTGCAGTAGCACAGATGTAAAGGAGAAGACTCCTGACCTCATTGCCCAGTACCAGGCCAACCGCGAGCGAGAGGAAACAAGTTACCAGACAGAGATTAGCGCCCGAAAGTTCGCTGAAAAGTGTGTTAAGGATGGTGATATTTTCGTGATATGCTGGGTAAGTTCAAGTCACCATGACGATTTCTAATTGTCAGACCTCTAACAATATTACAGTTCCCCTCCAAGTCTGAGGCGACCGTGCGATGGCTTCAACGCGAAGAAACAACTTTCTACATGGACGAGATGCAACTCCGTGAGCGTTGGCAGTATTATATCTCATCCTTTATTCGCGTTGAGCCCACCGAGGGAGTGCCTAGATCGAAGCTCCAGAAGGTTGTACTCTCTCGCAACCTTCCCTCACCCGACGCCGATGCAGACGAGGACTCCATTCCTAAGGCTGTCTCGTATAAGGAGAACCTGACCATTAGTATTTGTCTTAAGAGTTCAAAGATGATCTGGGCTCCGGAGACTTCTGAATACGTCGTATATGACCAAGGTCCCAAGTCAGCAGAACAGCGTGAGCGTCGCGACAAGTTCATCCGCGCCCTTAGCGCCCATCGAGAGAACAAGCTTCTCGAGAAGTGGGTGCACAATCCCGCATGGACGAAGGACCTGAGTCCAGAAGAGGTTCAAGAGCAAAATAAGAACTTCCGCAAGTGGATGGACGACGGTGTCGTTCCGCCCAGCGCTGCTGAAGACGTGGAGATGGATTAGCCCTCTAACTCTCGCCAGCAGCAGGAGCAGGGACGAAAACGTAGCAGAGAAGCTGCGCCCACAAAGCCTGCAGCGACCGTACCAAAGCCAAGCGGTAAGGGGTCACGAAAGAGGCCTGCGGAATCGCTCGCTTCTGCTCCGCCAAACAAGAAGACGAGATACAGTCCTCGGATTACCAGGGCACGATCTGGGAGCGACGAGTCGCGCAAGGAAGGGGGTGAATAACTTTTAAAGGAAATGAATGGGGATGGTGTGCTTGTACGGAACTCATCAGCGGTTTGGTTGTTTTTGTTTTTTTCATCCTTTCCTCTATCATTTTGTTTTTAGTCTTTGAGATTCAAAAGGCGACAGGAAATTCGCAACCAGAAGGCTTGCACGCACATCACTTTTCCTATTATAGCGAGGTTGATACGATGTTTGAGGAGTTTAGAGCTCCTTTGGCCTGTACTCTAGAAACTATATAACCAAGCACGTCATGATTGATATCAGGATCGAAGTTGTGCAGTTAATGTCATCATATCAAGAGTCAAGCCTTAGTTGGTCTCCTGTGAATTACAAATGGTATTTATATCTCTTCCTAAATCCTAAATGGCTATGTAAGGGTATACCATGGAGCAGTCAGATATCGTAGGCCATATCAAGATGCGTCAGATACAGCAAGACAAAACTTTTCCTTCCATCGCACCACATGCCTGTTTAATGTGTCATCTAAATCGTCAATTATCCCAGTCGCCCCTTTTATTGCAGGTTCTCGATAACCATAGCAGAAGCACCACCACCACCGTTGCAGATACCAACGGCGCCAATCTTGGCCTTCTTCTCCTTGAGGACGGAGGTAAGCGTGGTGACAATACGGGCACCAGAGCATCCAAGAGGGTGACCGATGGCAACGGAACCACCGTAGACGTTAACCTGGTCAGGGTTAAGACCAAGGATCTTCATGTTGGCGAGGGCAACAGCGGAGAAGGCTTCGTTGATCTCGTAGTACTCGACCTGGTCGGCGGTCAAGCCAGCGTGCTTGATGGCCTTGGGAATGGCCAGAGCGGGAGCGATGGTGAACCGCTCAGGCTCACGCTCAGCATCACCCCAACCAAGAATCTTGGCAACAGGCTTAAGGTTGAGCTCCTTGAGCTTAGCCTCGGAGACGAGGACAACGGCGGCGGCACCATCGTTGATGGGAGCAGCGTTAGGGGCAGTGACAGTACCATCAGGCTTGAAAGCAGGGCGCACAGCCTTGAGCTTGTCGACATTCAGATTCTTGACCTCATCGTCGCGCTCAACCTTGATAGCGGGCTTGCCACGGCCACCGGGGACCTCAACGGGGACGATCTCAGTGAAAAGACCAGCCTCGGTGGCAGCCTGAGCCTTCTTGTATGAGTTGATGGCGTACTCGTCCTGAGCCTCGCGCGTGAGCTCGTGGTCCTGAACGCAAAGCTCAGCAGAGATGCCCATGTGGTCCTTCTTGAAAGAGTCGGTCAAACCGTCCTTGAGGACACCATCGACGAGAGTCTGGTCGCCGTACTTGGCGCCGTTTCGGAGGTTGGGGAGGTAGTGAGGAGTGTTGGACATGGACTCGGTTCCACCAGCAACGACAATGTCGGAAGTGCCGAGCATAATGTTTTGGGCACCAAGAATGATGGCCTTGAGCGAGGAAGCGCAGACCTTGTTCACGGTCGTGGCGATGACAGTCTGGGGAAGGCCTGCACCGAGGGCACATTGGCGAGCAGGGCCCTGTCCAACGCTGGAGGCAAATCATGTCAGCAACGAGGTCGCAGTTATCTCAATTTTCGAGATCATGATGGCGGGGTAGAGAAAACAAGAGACCTACCCAGCGGAGAGGACATTGCCAAAAAAGACCTCGTCGACATCCTCAGGCTTGATACCGGCACGCTCGACAGCTCCTGTGGACAGTTTTTAGTACCTGGAATGTTTTTTTTGTTCGTGGTTGTGAGGTTCAATCTTACCCTTGATGGCGACAGCTCCCAGTTGAACGGCGGTCTGGCTCGACAAAGAGCTATATTGATATTAGCCACTACACGACAATGATCTGGCAAATGCTCAAGCTAACCCGAGGAATGAGCCGATGGGCGTACGAGCCGTGGAGACGATGTAGACAGGAGGAAGGTTGGCCATTTTGGAAGATTTGATGTGTTATGATGGAAGATGACAAAAAATCAGGAGATCGTCAGCGGAGAGCTTAAGGTAGTTTATAGATTGATAAATTGGACAGTGGAGCGGAAACCGGCGGCAATTTTGTTGAGGGAGTACCTACCTAGCGACTCTTACAGCTACCTACAACCTAAGCGAACAGCACTTTCCTTCCAATGGTTCTAGCTTGAGAGGCTAATGTTGGGTAAGGCAGGAAGTGAGCAATAGAGAGGCCCCTCTTACCCGTAGTTGAGGTGCCATTGCCCTCGAATTCGGGATCCGTACAGCGGGAAATCGAGGCTTTGGAGGGGCACGACTCTTGCGAATACGCCGCCGCGCCGCTGTCGGCAGGAACCCCTGTCAATTTCCGGCCCCACTTGTACCTGCCTCAGTCTTCCCGTCTTTGCTCTCCATGAATGATCGAGTGCACGTGACATCAAAAAAGTTGGCGACAGAATAGAGCTGCGCGCGCGAAGTCAGGTCCAGACAGGGAGCTCTAGTGACAAGATTGACGATCAGAGAAACCGAATTCTCACGTCGCCAATTGTCTGCGCATACAGAAACACGCATTTGCGCATCTCTTCTATTCACGGCGACAATGGATGATCTTTACGACGAGTACGTATCTTGTTCTTTCGTCGCGTTTTGAGCTTGACAATTTGACGGCGCGCTGACTTATCGCGACAGGTTCGGTAACTTCATTGGAGAGGAGGCCGAGTCAGAGGAGGGCTCAGAGGTTGGCGTTGGTGCGGATGACTATACCTACGATGACGAGCCAGATGAGGCTCCTGGTGTGACAGGCCAGGAGCTCATGGAGATTGACGGTACGAGCCCGGGACAAAGGCTACGAACATATACTAATTCGTGGGTTGGCAGATGGCCCATCAAATGCGATTATTCTCCACGAAGATAAGCAGTACTATCCAACTGCTGAACAGGTATACGGCGCCGATGTCGAGACCCGTGTCGAAGAAGAGGATGCCCAGCCTCTATCCCAACCCATCATCGCCCCCATCGAGCAGAAGAAGTTCAACATTGAGGAAGCCGACCTTCCACCCGTGTTCTTCGACCGCGAGTTCATGACAGACTTGATGAACTTCCCAGAACAAACGCGAAACGTAGCATTAGCTGGACATTTGCACCATGGAAAGACAGCGTTCATGGACATGTTGGTACTCGAGACACACGACATCACAGATCGGCTTGAACGAAGAGTGGGCAAAAACCGGGATGAGCAATTGAGATATACGGACGTACATATCTTGGAGAGGGAAAGGGGGTTGTCCATCAAGGCTGCGCCAATGAGTTTGGTACTACCCAGTACCAAGGGCAAGTCGCACCTTGTCAACCTGATCGATACTCCCGGTCATGTCAACTTTGTCGATGAGGTGGCTGCCTCGTTCCGTTTGGTTGACGGTGTCTGTCTGGTGGTGGATGTGGTCGAGGGAGTTCAGATCAACACGGAGCAGATCATCAAGCACGCCGTTCTGGAAGACATCCCCCTGACGCTCATCATCAACAAAATGGATCGCCTCATCCTCGAGCTGAAGCTGCCACCCAAGGACGCATACTTCAAGCTCAAGCACGTTGTTGAGGAGGTCAACACTATTATCACAAACACATCTCCTACCAAGGCCGCTTCCAAGAGGATAAGTCCTGAAAAGGGCAATGTCCTATTTGCCTGCACAGATATGGGTTGGTGTTTCACGTTACCGAGCTTCGCCAAGATGTACACAGAGACCTTTGGAGATATCAACGTGGACGAGTTTGCGAAGCGGTTATGGGGCGACATCTACTACAACCCCAAGAAGCGAAACTTCTCCCGAAAACCCCTGGACGAGCGCTCAGCCCGATCGTTCGTTCACTTCATCCTCGAGCCCATCTACAAACTCTTTACACACTCCATCAGCGATAGTCCAGAAGAACTGCGGCCAGTGTTGGCCTCGTTGGGCATTGAGCTCAAGCCCTCACAATACAAGGCTGACGCGAAGGTGCTTCTGAAGCTCGTATGCGAGCAGTTCTTTGGTCCATCAACAGGCTTTGTGGATATGATCGTTAAGCACATACCAACTCCCATCGAGACTGCTGAACGATTACTTGAGCGATATTATACCGGCCCACTGGACTCGAAGGTCGCTGCCTCCATGAAGGCTTGTGACCAAGACGGCCCCTTAGTTGTTCATATCACCAAGCTCTTCAATACAGCGGATGCAAAGAGCTTTCACTCGTTCGGTCGTGTACTGAGCGGCACAGTTCGACCAGGTATGCAGGTACGCGTTCTTGGTGAAGGCTACTCCCTAGACGACGAGGAAGACATGGCTATGGCCAATATTTCAGAAGTATTCATCGGCGAGACAAGATACAACATCCCTACCGATGGCGTGCCAGCCGGTAACCTTGTACTACTTAGCGGCGTCGACAACTCCATTGTCAAGTCTGCTACCATTGTCCCTCCCAAACTCGAAGATGACGAAGATGCCTATATCTTCCGGCCTATCACACATTTCACAGAGTCTGTCCTTAAGGTTGCCGCCGAGCCTATCAACCCCTCCGAACTCCCCAAGATGCTTGACGGACTAAGGAGGATTCAAAAATCGTACCCCCTCATCAAGACTAAGGTCGAGGAATCAGGGGAGCATGTTGTCCTCGGAACTGGAGAGTTGTACATGGATTGTGTGCTGCATGACCTTCGTCGTCTGTATGCTGACATGGACATCAAGGTTTCTGACCCGGTTACGCGGTTTTGTGAGACTGTTGTCGAGACATCAGCGACAAAATGCTATGCTATCACCCCAAACAAAAAGAACAAGATCACCATGGTTGCCGAGCAGTTGGAGAGGGGGATCTCCAGCGATATTGAGAGTGGTGCTGTACGCATCCGCGATCCCATTCGCAAAACTGCCAAGTTCTTCGAAGAGAAGCATGGCTGGGATAAGCTGGCTGCTCGCAGTATTTGGGCCTTCGGCCCTGAGGAGACAGGACCCAACATCCTCCAGGACGATACTCTTCCCACTGAAGTAGGTTTTAACCCTGTTATGTCGCTTACGTTGATCGCAGCGGTGCCCTATTGCATGAGCAAGGCTAATATAAAGTTCAGGTGGACAAGAAAACACTCAACGCTGTCAAAGAGTCTATCCGACAAGGGTTCAGTTGGGCTACCCGCGAGGGGCCCCTGTGCGAAGAACGTAAGCATGCTCTTTCATTTTTCACCTTAGACCACAATCTATTGTCCAGTGGCTCGTTTCGAAGAAACGTTGTATCAACAGTATGGGGCACATCCTTCAAGTGAAGAGTGGGCTTTGTATATGTTTCATTATCAGCAGTTACCATTGGCAGTGGATCTCGACAGCAACAGAGACAAGGTAGTTCCTTGTGGAGTTTCCACGAACTCTCCACCTCTGCCTTCAAGCGCCTTTCGCTGGATAATACGCGGCTGGCAAATACTTGGCAGTCTCCAAACGTGGATTCTTGCAGAATGTCGATGGGACCACCTGTTTCCACCGTGTAAGGGATTTTGTTCTGAATAGCATTGCGGGCAGAGCCGCTTGACCGCTCCCGTTCTGTCAGGAACAAATGGAAAAGGGTATCCGACGATCCCTTGCCCCTTGACAACAGATAGCTTATCCTCTGGGCCCCTGCAAGGATACATCCAGACATCCAGATCAGGAGCAACAGTGAACGATTCAAAACAAATACTGACATGAGGCAACAGCGATACGAAACACAAAGTTCAAGGTCACAGATGTGCTACTAGCCAACGAGGCCATCTTCCGTGGAGGTGGCCAAATCATTCCCACCTCTCGACGAGCGTGTTATTCCTCCTTCCTCATGGCATCGCCCCGCCTCATGGAGCCTGTCTACTCAGTCTCTGTAACGGGCCCAGAGGACTCCTACATGGAGGTCTACAATGTGCTCTCGCGGCATCGCGGACACGTTTTGTCAGATGGTCCCGTTGCTGGTACGCCGCTGTATCGCGTCAACGGTCTACTGCCTGTCATTGACAGTTTCGGCTTCGAAACCGACCTGCGGATCAAGACGCAGGGCAGTTCGATGGTCAGTCTTGTGTTTGACAGCTGGAGCATCGTGCCTGGTGATCCTCTCGATCGCGAGCAGATCATTCGTCCGCTCCAGCCTGCTTCTGCACAGGCAACTGCCCGCGACTTTGTTCTCAAGACACGAAGACGCAAGGGTCTAAGCGAAGACGTTAGCGTCAAGACGTTCCTTGAGCCTGAGTTCTATCAGAGCCTGATGGAAAGTGGGATGCTTGGAGAGATCTAAACGTTTGCAATCTGTGGATGAGCGATGGGCGGGATGTTCCGGGAGGGTCTTGGAGGGTCCAATATGAGCAGCAGGGGCTGCACGAACGACTCCATTAAAGATCTTGGAGTAGTTGAACCCCGTTGGCTGAACCCTTTGTTTGATGGAGATAGCCACCTGCATTTTGATAAAACGAATTTGGTAGCAAGGATGAGATGGAAGATCAGTGGCGTACTTGCGGAACCGTAGAGGACAAGCAGGACATTGGCGGGAAGGTTTCATATAGACCAGCATAAACAGGGAACAATAATCAGAAATCAAGGCCAGGTGTTGAGGTTCTTTGACTTTTCGCCTACTCCCAATTCTGACATATAAAATAAGTTCCTGTAGAGTTGGCCATTCTAATGCTATTCTGGTTAGACCCCACGTTCCTTGTCAACGACGATGGGGCCTGTTTGTTGACAGGACCTTTTTCAAGATGCCGACGATGCTAGGGGATTTATCCTTGAGCTTTACCGTGCAGGACTGTAGCGTCATGGTTATGCTTTACGACAGATCGCGCACCAGATAATTAAAGCCAATGTTAATAACATTCAGGATCTGGACTAGTGTCGCAGTTGGTTCACTAGACAATTCATCCAACAGCTTGTAGTCCTGTTAATACAGATATAAAACAAAGGTCAAAGCAACAGTGAAGATGGTGGAGTTGAACGAGCGCTTCGTGGAAGCTTCCACGGGACGATTAACCGGTGATCTCAACGGGTCTTTTCTAGAAACCCTTGCTCTTTCAGGGACCACGGTTTGAACCTCGTGGCAAGCAAGTGAATGACGAAGCGGTTGATAAGCATCGTGACAGGGATCATTGACAGGACACAAGGTTTGCTAGGGTGCCGGGAACGATGGGCATGAGCCCATCTGCCAGGCACATCCATAACCCATCTCGGTGAAGGCTTGAGGGTTAAAGCCATAACCTGAAGGTGTAACATTAGTCTGGGGTGCTGGACGAAGGATATCACTCATGGCTCTTCAGCAATTAAGTCTAACACTCCCCATTGGCCGTGAAGAGAGTTATTCCAAGACACTGGTGGCTTATCCCCACGTCACGAGGAGGTAGGAAATGCGGGATAGAGCAAGTGGTGTCTTAGAATATGCAAGACAATTGATGGTTGCGGACAAATACCTCCCATCATGTTTACTTTCAGGATCGCCACTGAGGAAAATACAAGTCTCTTTGCAACGTCGATGGCGGACCAATCCCGAGACTCGTATAGAGCCGGGGGGATCGCGTCGCGGGAGTTGCAAGATCGGGGGATCGTCACGCAGACGCAAGGCAAGGTTGCTTCCCCCCAAACATATCATTTGAGACCGTCCAAGCGAAATGCAACTGTGATCCCTGGGCGTCCACAAAACCGCAAACACACTGGGGGAGCGGGGGTCAACCCCTGAAGGATAGTGATATGGATGAAGTCTGCAAGACAAAAGCTCCTGGAGGCTGGCCGACTAGAGCTAGGAGCGTGACTACGGTGCTGTATGATTTTGAGGACAGACTGATTGATGAGTTGAGTACCGTGAAGCTTGACCGATTTGGTATGATATGATCATGTGTGGCGGCAAGTCTAAATCCCCAGTTCTTTTAGACCTGCCAAACGGGAGCTACTAGTCTTGGCAGGACATGCCACGAAAGGAGACATCGCACAAAACAGACACCTCTTGGTAGTGCCCTATCAGAGACGACCTTGCCTCTTGGCTGTGAAAAGGGCCGACAGAGTCGAGCATGACGTCTCGTGGCGGTAGGTTCCGTTCCGTAGCCTACAGTGCCTGTCAAGGCACTGAAGTGACCATGAACCATGGGGGGGGGGGGGCCAGATTCAGTCAGGTCAGGGACGTTTGGATTTGCGGCGACCCGAAGTGGGGGACGTTGGGACGCCTCCACGAGTAGCATGCTGATATAGGGCGCTACTTAGTATGGTACGACGATGATTCCCAAAACGGAAAGCTAATCGTGGAATCTGGTCGACGTCGGTTTTTATGCACGAGAGGATAGAGAAGAAACAGAGCGAGGCTCATGAATGAAGGAAGTTGGAGGAGTCGACATATATCTTTGATTGTGAATATGCGCGTATTCATTCATACAGCAAGGCAAATGCACACGCATTCGTTGCAACCCAACCATGTGTTGTGTATCAAACTAAGAACTAGCTCGACGTGACACCGATGACATTCTTGATACTCTCGGAATACCATGTTCCAATAGTCCGATATATTGGAATGCCCACTTGTCGCGATGTTGCACTTGGACTGGAGGAAGGTTTCTCATGAGTAGCGTGACTTGTTGTTCGTGGTAGCTGAACCTTATTTAGATGAGGATATCCTTGATTGAACCCCTTGTCATTGCTCTCCAATCAAGAATCGATGTTTTCCCCAGCGCTCTCTCATTACCAGTTTAACGGTACAGTCTATTCAGACTACCCCAACTTGAATGCCGAGATTCAAGACATGGTAAGGTCACCAAGGTGGTATTTTCGCTCCTACCATTCGGCTTCGGAACGAGAATGATCATGGTCCGCATCCTTCGTATTGGTCGCTTGTCTACGTTGTAGTGACATTAATCGATGGTGCGTGCCAGAAGATCAGCGAGCTGAATCCCTGTGATACTGAAGCCTTCTAAAAGAGTGTAGTCTTCGAAAATAGAAACTTTTGTCATGACTAAGCGCAAGTTTCCAACATCTTGTCCAGCACTCCCTTCAGAGTGTCGTTCTCTAAAGCAGCAGCAACTCGTTCCTTATCGCCTAGTTGCTTGTTGACTTGATCATCTTGGTTGTGGCTGTTCTCTTTGCAGGTAACATCCACGCGGTAGTTGGGCGGCAGTGCCTGCTCCAGTCTCACTCGAACTCCGAGACCGATAACGGTGGCTAGCGAGCAGTGGGTGATGGTAGGCGTGATCTCCACAACCACCTGGACGATGGTATTGGGGTCAGGGACGCCCATAGAAGGAGAGGGAGTAATGTGAATATCAGAGAGGTTAATCACTGACAATTGGCCGAGTGATACCGGGTGCTCTGGATCCGAAATGGTTGAGATCAGATCTGTCCAACATTAGTGTGCCATGTCCAGTTAAACGTGGATATGTACTCGAGTCACTTGGAACCCTCACGAGCCCCAGCGTAAATGCGCACAAAGACACTGGAGTGGCAAATTCACCAACGAAATGACTCAAGTGAAATGGAGAAGGATCATACCATAAATTTCTTGTTCGTCAATAGCTTCGGATGAGAATTCATCCTGCCAGTCGTTCATTCGAGGCCAAGCGGCCGGACCTTGACCGAAAGGCCCAGTAAGATACGATGGCTTCGCGAAGATGATATCGTCGTATTTGGAGTCCGGACCCCGACGCGGCTCAGCCTTCTTCTGCCGGGTAGGCAGCTGAGACGCACTCAGGATAGTTGGATTCGCGTTATCCAAGGTTGTCATTGCGATGCAGAACTTGGACCAACTCAATATGCAGGGATCTCAGATTCAGATGGCCAAGGCTTCGAGGCTATTTGGGATGAGGTGACGCGGCAAGGGAGAGAGCAATGGGTCGTCAGTACAGGATATGCAGGAGATGAGATGGTGGAGATGATGACAGGTGCAAAATGTGCTATGCTAATTTCGAAGGCTTAAGGAATTCGTCGTTAATAATGGACAAGGTTGTTTGTTGTATGGGGAAGGGATTTGATGATTTGAAGTTCAAAGTGGGAGGGGTAGTAAGTACAAAGTACAGAGGAGTTACTAAGCGCCACATCTGATAAGCCTCGCAAATTGGTGAGGCGCAGCACGGTCCATCGCCAAGTTTGACGACCAATTAATGCTTCACTTTTGATCTTTGCTGCAATGATCAACACTCGGTAGATGAACACGGATAGGAGAGATCATCATGTCATCGAAACTTGGCGTACAAGTGCATTCATGCAGACATACGAGTTTCTTGAATTTGTGGTGTTTGTTGGAAGGTCACTCATCATCAGATACAGGGGTCAAAACATTAGACACAAAGTCTGTATCTCCATGTCTCACAGGACGTTAGCGAATAAGCGGTAAAAGCCCTGTCGCCTCGCACTTGGTTACGAGTCAAACACTGGAAAGAAGGCTGGCGGTGTGAGCTGACAATAGCAATTTCCACACAAACTAATAAGATATAGCCTCCACTACCTTAAAAAAGGTCCTGTCATGGCTCTTGACAGGTCCCGTCCGTATCAGGGGGTGAGGCTGCGGGGGCTGCCCAGGCCAGGCCCAGGGAGTGCCGGCCGAGTGAGTTGAGCGCAAGAGTGCGTGATTCTGGAAACTCGGTGGAAGGGTATCCTATCCTTGCAAGGAACGCGCTTGGAAGCCGCTCAGAAGCGCTGTCCCTGTCGCGATTGGACGACGGACCATGGCGTGCGTGCGTGCGTGCGTGCGTGCGTGTCCCTGAAGTCTGAGTACGAAGGATCGTGGCGCGCGATCTCTCCCCCAATATCGGAGGTGTTTTCTAGAACAGGGTAGCCTCATCGACTTCCACGAGATGAGGGAGAGGTTCAACACTACACTACTGTACTGTACCCGTACAGTCCGGAAGATGGTCTGCAGGATCCGTTCCGCTACCACTACCACGTTGTTCAACTACCGACCTACGACCTGTGGTGTTGGTTGTTGGCACATACATAAATTTCATGCTGATCATGACCTCGAATTCTGTCCGCGGCCCGATTCGGGTGGGAATCAACCACAACCTCAAGCCTCTCAAGGTCTTGAATCCAACGCCCGCACTTGTCAGATATTTTTACACAAGTATTAGTCAGAACTTCATAATTGAGGATCTCTGCCCACCACACTATAGCCGGCTCAGCTACGGATACGGAGCGTCTGCTGTGCAAGAGGACAATGTAACAATGATGGGGCAAAGATTTACCCTGGGGTTAGCATGGGCTAGGTTGTTAGCAGAATGAGGTTCTTGGTTCAAGACGCAGATATGAGCCCTCTGTCGAAGAAATACAGCGAGTATA